CTTATCACTAAACTAACTTGATGATCAGGTAAATTTGACTTGGTCTCTTCTTATCTTCTAAATATCAAATCTTATCAAGAGATATATACCTATACATCCATAAAAGTAAATAGTAGGAGGCTTTATCACTAAACTAACTTAATGACCAAATAACTTTGACTTGGTCTCTTTTTATCTTTTAGATACCTAATCTATCAAGAGATATGCATCATATAGAAGCATATTCGTATTGATATATAACACTGGACATACATATCACAGGAGAAAGAGATCTTTCATAGAAGGGGTATATATCTTGGTTCAAGGTTCACAATGTTATTCGTCATGGACAATACGATAAGTTCCATGAAGGAAATGATTTCAATTAGAGCGAAGCTTGGTGAGTTACCAACTGTACTACCTGGAATGATTGTCAGCTCTGTGGAGAGCAAACTTGCAGCTTCTCGCTCGAAATTGTTGTCCCAAGCTGCAACATCATCCGCATTATAACTATGGTTTCACAATTGACAAGTGTGGCTCCTGATGTGAGGATGGTTTCCATTGATTCTTAGTATCTTCCTGCCATGTTTATCGTGGCCATGGATGTCGAAAACCTACAACTTTTCGAAGAGCGAGAAAGGATCCATTAGAGAGAAAAAGTTATAGATCGGCTTAATAAAGGAGTGGAGCAGTGCTGGAACAAGCCGTTAGTAATGAAGGGTTGAGGGTGGGGAGAGAATGAGAGATGGGTTTAGAGAGAGAGAGTAGAAGGTTTTTTTTAATGGTTTTCAAAGATCGTCGTATAGAGAGAGTTGTTGTGATCTGCTCAAGATATGCTATGCATTAGCCATTTGGGGCAATCTGAGGAGCACTATCGCGAGAAGCTCTCGATCCTCGTGCAAGCAAGTTGCTTGGATCTGTGCTTACTAAATATGGTGGTGTTTCAAAGGTTTCATATTTTCTTTTGGTTTCTATTGGCTCTTCCAAGTGCCTGTTTGTATCTGTCATTGTTATATCAATTTCTTTATAATGAAAAATTCAGAATTGTATCGGTTTGTGCCTATTAAACTTAATGGAAATAACCATACTTTTTGGGCTTCTTTTATGAAAAATGTGATTAATGGAAAATGACTATTAGGATATATAGATGGAACTAGACAAAAACCACATGATCCTAAAAAGTTAGTGGAATGGAAAGTCGATAATGATAGGATAATAGCCTGCTGATGGGGTATGTAGAGCATAATATTGAGGTCAATTTAAGTACTTTTCCTAATGTTAGAGATACTAGTTTTTCTGGAAGAAATCTATCATCAAATTAACTAGGCAAGTAAGTATAAGTTAGTATAGGAACTTCGTTCACTCCGCCAAGGTGACCAGTCCATTCAGGACTTCTATTCTACCATGAAAGTGCTTTGGCATGCCCTAGCCCGTATGAAATCGAAAATCATTGATGGGCTTAGTATAAAGATTGTCGAAAAATCACGTAACGAGTTTAGAGTTCTTGAATTCTTAATGACACTTCGGCCCGAATTTGAGAGCGCTAGGAATGTCCTATTGCACAAGGCCACTCTTCCTACTCTAACTCATGCTCTTCCTGAGTTGATTGTAGAAGAGACTAAGATCAAGTCTCTTAGTATTGTTACCATGGGAGAATCAACTTTTGCTGCAACGCAAAATTTGAAACGCAAAAACCTTAAACATAATTCTTTTTATGTTCCTCACAAGGATATGCCATCTGTTAAATATAATTATTGCAAGGAACTTGGACATATGAAATTTACATGCCCAAAGTAGAAGAAGAGACCTACTTTTGCAGCTGTTGTAGAGTCAAGCCACCCCTCATAAAGATACATTGCAGATCAATCTACCATGTCTGCTGCTCAATCTTCAATAACTCTTACAGTTGAGAAGTTGCAGTCTATGCTCTCTCACTCTCGATAGACTCAGATGCATCTTGGCACATGACTGCTAATGAGTATATTCTCGTTGCTGGCAAACCTTTTTCTGACACTATTCAAACTGCAGACGGGGCCATTATGGAAGTTTCTAAGGTTGCCTCTATTACCACTACTTTTGACCCCTCTAGTAAATTACATATTTGTGGTGTTTATCATGTTCCATCTATCACCATGAATCTACTTTCTGTTAGTCATATTACTCTCTCTAATTGTGATGTTATATTTTCTCCCTCTAGTTGTTATGTGCAGGATCAGCGGTCAGGGAAATTGATTGGGACTGGGCATTAAACTGACGACCTATACTTCTTGGACTACCTTCATTTGACAACATCTTCATCTATTAGTGCCATGTCTGCTTTTGATGCTATTACTACTTCATGGCATCAACATCTTGGTCATATTTTTGCTTTTAGATTACAATTTCCATTGTCTCGTAGTTTTCTTGGTCCCACCACTAATAAAGTGTATGTTGATGTCAAACGTTGTAAACCGTGTAAGCTTGCAAAGTCTCATACTTTACCATTTAATCGCAATAGTACAATTTTCACTTCTAAATTTGACAGTGTGCATACTGATGTCTAGGTCCTACTCCTATTTGTTCAAAAGGGGGTTCATGATATTTTGTTACATTTATTGACGATCACACTCAGTATACATGGTTGTTTTTTTAGCAATGATCTTGTGAGACCTTGCCACATTTAGTGGCATGGGACCCCTAATCTATAATATCTATCTTACAATAAATCTCGGAGTAAGACTTGCCAAACAGGTCAAACACTTTGCCATACAAAAAAAAAAAACAGCCTCCATTTTCTCTCTCTAAAAACGATATTCAACTCCCAAAATGGGTCCAGGTAAGTCGGAAAGAGCTTTGAAGAGGAGAGAGGAAGTGAACTAGTTGGGGCATACCACGCAACGATAGAAGTTTGTAGAGAGAGAAAGCTTCTATTGAAAGAGCTCTGATGATCGCTTTAAAGGGAAAGATTGTTGGGTATTGAAGGAGATGGAAAATTCTCATAGCAAATATGGTGGGGAGCTTGGCTATGAGCTTGGTAGAGAGAAGATTGTTTTTGTGTTGACTTGCTCTAAAGGTTTGAGAGAGAATTTGCAGGGTTCGAGAAAGATTGATGGAGGTGTGCAACAATAGAGAGAGAGAGAGATACAATTGGTTGGTTGCGGTTCAGGGATTTGACCATAGAGCAAGATTAGAACAACTTGTATACAATTGGTTGCGGTTTAGGGATTTGATAAAAAACGACAGGCCTAATGGTGCTTTGGCAGTTATAGGAGCCTAGTCATCTAGATCTAGGCCATTCATGAGCGTGCAAGCATCGGTTTGCATACATTTAGTTCACATGATAAAGGATTTGCTTTGTCTAGTTCATATGGGAGAGAAAAACAATGGCGATAGAGGTGTGACAATCATTTTAACAGTGAGAGCTTTTAGAGAGACAAGAAAGTGATGATTTGGGCATGGTTAACCATCGACCTCAAGATACAAATAGGACTGCAGAGAGAGACCAAGTAAGGAAGAAGGTGAACATAATGGGTGAAAAATGAAGATAAGAGTGTGAGAAAGAGAGGTCCTATACAAGAAGGCAGCTGAATATGAGAGATTTAATTACAAATTAATACGTTTAGATAGAGAAAGAGAGAAAAGGGGCAGTTGGACCGAAGATGTAGGAACAGAAGAGAGAGAGGAGATGGAAACTGGTATAAAGAGAAGGGGTTAAACCATGTTTTACAGCCAAACTGCTTACCGCTTCTTTACCAAAATTTCAACTTAGGTAAATCTAAAGCCCAAGTTATCAGGGAGCAATTAAGAACCCATCTCCCTCTCCAAGTTGGTCCCCTCTTTCTCTTTTTAAAGATCAAACCATTCTCTCACAGCAACAACAGCCATAAGAAATATTAAAAGAGGTTTAATGAAAAGAAAGGGTAACCTATTGAACAGGTTACTCCACATGTATCTCGAGAAACTACATGATCTAACGACAACTACATGGGGTCTTATGAGGCTACCGGAGTGTCAGGGTCCCATAAGGTCATTTTCCTTGTTTTTTTTATGAATAGTCGCATTGAATTTTATAATATTTTTACCAAATTTTACTCCTATGTTGAAACTGAATTTTCTACAAAAATTAAAACTTTACGCTCAGATTTTGGTGAGGAGTACATTAGTAAGATGCTTCAAAAGTTCATTGCAGATAGAAATATTCAACATAAAAAATATTACCCCTATACTCTTGAATAGAACGGTATTGGTAAACGTAAAAATCGCCATCTTTTAGAAACCACAAGGGTTTCTCTTGTCTAATTTTGTTCCAAAATTATTTTGGGTTGAAGCAGTTCGTACCGTTGTCCATCTAATAAACATTTTGCTTTCTTCTATTTTATCTAGGTATTCCCCTTTTACACCTTAGTCATCAGATTCTATCTCTAAAACAAATTGCCAAGGGGAAGATCATTCAATTGATGCTATAGATCCCAGTCCTGCACTTGCTAATCATGCACATACTCTTATTGTGCGCTATAGTACACATGTTTCTATTTTGCCTTCCTGGCTTGCTGATTATGAAACCTACTTACCTCAACATCAAGCCTTTCTTGCCTCTATTCATTTTTATTCTGAGCTACAAACCTAATGTTAACTAGGTGGAGTGGCAATAGGCAATGGCAGAAGAACTAAATGCCCGTGATCGGATTCATGCTTGGGACCTGGTTCTTCTTCCCAAAGGAAAGAATGCCATTGGTTATTGGCGGGTCTATAAAATCAAAATAAAAGAAGATGACATCCTTGAACGATATAAAGCTTGTCTAGTCGCAAAAGGCTACAATCAACAATATGGAATTGAGTTTACCAAAACTTTTGCCCTAGTAGCTGATATGGCAACCGTCCAGAATGCATTTCTATTGCATCTATCTGAGAATGGCTTTTATATCAACTAGATGTAAAAAATGCATTTCTTAATGGTGATCTTGACGAAGAAGTATATAAGAAGTTCCCTAATGGGGTTTCAGATCCTCAGAATAGGGTATGCCGGCTTCGTCGCGCTCTAGATGGACTCAAACAAGCAGCTCATGCTTGGTTTTGAAGATTTTTGTAATGCAATCATGTCAGCAGGATTTCGCCAAAGCCATCATGATCCAGCCCTATTTGTGTCTGACACCTCTACTGGTCGAGCATGTTTGTTACTCTATGTGGATGACATGATAATATTTGGTGATGATAAATGTACCATTCATAAGATCAAACAAAACTTCAATCAAATATTTGAAATGAAGGATTTAGGGTTCTTGTGCTATTTTTTTGGCCTTGAAATTGCTTATTCTCAACGCAACTATTTGTTATATCAACACAAGTATGCCTCAGAAATTGTCTTCCAAGCTCGCCTCATGGATGATATTAAGAGACTTGATACTTCCATTGAATTGAATATCAAACTCTATGCAACAGATGGTGAACTACTCTCAGATTCAACATTTTATCATCAATTGGTTGAAAAATTAATATATCTAACTATTTATCGACCATATATTGCTTATGTTATGCATCTTGTGAGCCATGTTTGAGTGCTTCTCGGTTTGTTCACTTAATTGCAGTCTTGCGTATCATTCATTATATGAGGGATACCCGACACCCAGCTTTGTTTTTATCTTCTTCTTCCTCTCTTGAAATTCATGCATACACAGACTTAGATTTTGCAAGGAACCTGAGTGACGGCAAATCAACTACAGGATTATGTATTTTTCTTGGTGACTCACTTTTATCCTGGAAAAGTAAAAAGCAAACACGTATTGCTCAATCGACAACAGAAACAGAATATAGGGCAATGGCGCAAACCACAACTGAAATTGTTTGGCTTCAATGGTTGCTTGTTGATATGGCCGTTATTGTTCCCACTCCTACAATACTATATTATGACAATAAGAGTGCCATACATTTATAAAATTCAGAGTTCGATGAACGCACCAAGCATATTGAAGTTGATAGTCGCCTTGTCCAGTAAGAATTTTTGCAGACATAATTTCTCTTCCATAGATTGCCTCCTCTGAGCAGCTTATGGACTTCTTCACCAAAACACATATAGAGCCTCAATTCTTTTGGTTTCTTTCCAAACTCTCTATGATTTCGTCAAATCATCTCGAGTTTGACGGGGAGTGTGAAATTATAGTAACATGTAAATATTACTTCTGTACAATATTTCCTTTCCTTTTCTGTGTATTCATATTAGGAAGGTTATTTATTCTAGGGATTGTCTACAAATAGACTATTTATCTTTTGTATATGGAAATTACAATCATCCTTGTCCCTTAAATTTCAAAATGGGTGGTTGTTAGAGTGTCATTGATTAGACACAAAGTTCCAATAAAAAAATTCTCATACTTCATGTCTCACCCGAAGCCATCCAATTTGACATCTAAGGAGTGGGAATTGTTGTGACCTCCTTGCACAAAAGGTAAATGGTCTTTCTGCAGACAATTCCTTTATAATATACTGGTTTGTAACCCTATAAATTGAGGGTCTTGTACACAATTCTATACACAGAAGTACAATATTTCTCTACAGAGGCAGACTTGGAAGCGGATAGTGTGGCCCGACCCAATTACCGGCTCTGCATTCAAAAGTTAAAAGGTACGGTTTGTATAGAACCGAGGCTCTAGACAATTAAAGTAAAGCACACTTTCAAATAGTATCGAGAAATGTGGTTTTAATACTAAAAATCTTTGTGATAGCCTTAAAATATATTTTCATCTTTAATTATAAAATTTAAAGAATATTTATCAAATTTCAAAATATTGAAACTTAACGATCCAAAAATACGTTGATGCACTATTTTCAAATTTAAAATCCACTTTTTTCTCGTGTCCATGAATCTTGACATCTAGATGATCAATTTGAAGATATTTGAACATCAAAACAACCTCTTCTAGTCAAACTTTTGAGGTGCCTCAGAAGTTAAAATAGATGATTTGACCACCTTGACTAGTGTGTAAAATAGTTTGACCACTTTTTGTTATATTTTCCTAAATATATAAAACCCAAAATGGCGTGACTACCAACTTATGCCAAACCACCATGGGTAAGTCCAAAATTTCTAAAGCCCAGCGGATCCAGAACCCCAACCATAGCATCATACATAGTTTTCCATTCCATATCGTAGCATTTGGTTTGTAGGAATTGCCGAGCCAAAGATCAACTAAAAGAAAAAAAAAGAGACAAAAAACCAAACTTGATTTCCTTGTTCCCTTGGTTTCTTATTGGGAAATTGATTATACTCTTTGGGCCCGTTTGGATCTTTGGGGTTTTCAAATGAAAAGTCAATCTTGAAATTGAAATTTACTGGAATTGACATTTCCTATAATAAGATGTATACTGCTTGGATCGCATATGGTAGAAATCAAGAAAATGCAAATTCCCTATTTCGATTGCCTGGAATATCTTTTTTTGGAAATACAAATCCATTCCCTCTCTCTATAATTTTTAAGATAGTTTATCTCTCTAAATTTTTTCTAATAGTTTAATACAATCTCTTTCAAAAACTTAAAATTTGAAATAGTCTCTCTCTCTCAAATTTTTGAGATAACTTCTCTCTTTAAAATTTTTATATATTGTCTCTCTCTAAAATTTGATTTAGTTTCTCTCTATAATTTTGAGATACTCTCTCTCTAAAACTTAAAATTTGAGCTAGCTTTTCTTTATAAAATTTTTGAGATAGTTTCTCTCTCTACAATATAATATAGTTTATCTCTCTAAAATTTTAAGGTACTTTCTCTAGCTAAAACTCGAAATTTGATCTAGTTTTTTTCTAAAAAATTTAAGATAGTTTCTCTCTCTAGGAAATTTTAGGTACTTTCTCATTCTAAAATTTAATATAGCTACTCTCTTTAAAATTTTAAGATGCATTTTCTCTCTCTAAAATTTTCTTGTAGTTTTTCTCTCTAAAATTTTCAAGAAGTTCTTTCCCTAAAATTTTCTTGTAGGTTTTCTTTCTAAAATTTTAATGTACTTTATCTCTCTAAAACTTAAAATTTGAGATAATTTCTCTATCTAATTTTTTTTAAATAGTTTCTATCTTAAAAAATTGCAAGTACTTTCTCTATCTAAAATTTGATATAGTTTTTCTATTTAAAGTTGTAAGATTTTTTCCCTCTCTAAAACTTAAAATTTGAGATAGTTTCTCTTTCTAAAAATTTTCATATAGTTTCCCTATCTAAAATTTGATATAGTTTCTAATCTCTAAAACTTTAATGTGCTCTCTCTCTCTCAAACTTAAAATTTGAGATAATTTATCTCTTTAAATGTCTTGAAATACTTCTCTTTAAAAAAGTTTAAGTAGTTTCTCTCTCTAAAATTTAATGCAGTTTCTCTCTCTAAAATTTTAAGATACTTTCTCTCTCTAAAACAAAAGATTTGATATAGTTTCTCTCTCTCAAATTTTAATATGATCTCTCTAAAACTTTAAATTTGATATAGTTTCTCTTTTTAAAATTTTTTGTATATTTTCTCTCTCTAAAAAATTTTGTATAGCTTCTCTCTCTAAAATTTGATATAGTTTCCCTCTCTAATATGTTTTCTCTCTCTAAAATTTGATATAGTTTCCCTCTCTAATATGTTTTCTCTCTCTAAAATTTGATATAGTTTTCCCCTCTAAGGTTTTGATATTTTTTTGTTCTTTAGTAGCAAAATAGTGCATTTCCATGAAATGTCAATTCCACCCAATGGTTTAAAAAACGGATCGGTGACCCGAATCGGGCTTCCAAAAAACCGATCCGGATCGGCAAATCGGCCATCCGGATCGAGAATAGGGTGAATCGGTCAAAATAAAGCTTAAAAAAAATTTGAAAAAATTATTAAAATTCATTATAAATATTGTTTTTTAGGAATTTAATAAAAAATGAGGGTACTCCATTAAGAATTTTCATGTTTTTGAATGAATATGCGAATATTGATATGTTCTTTCCCTGCATGAACCGCCATTCAGTATTTAATTTACAGT